ACTCCTCGTGCAGAGATTGGCCACCACTTTACTTCGTTTGTCTAAAACCAAGTACACCACCTATTTAAGACTATTAGGTAGAAAGATGACGAATTGCGTTTAAAAATTTATGGCCCAGTATATTACTAACAAGGTTTGCTCTATGCTAACCATCACTTTAGATATTGCTGTTCACTGAACTACTAAGCGAATATCATCCCTTTTGGGGTGACAGAATTACAATGAGCATAGAACTCAAGAAGCTGACAACCCAAAAAAAACCTGAAAATTGTTCCCAACTAGTGATAAAGCATATGACAAATCTTCCAGAAGCAAACTTTCTCATGCAAAATGAATATCAAACTCAATTTATCCTAAGTGAAGAGAAAGGCCAATCTGAACAATTGGTTAATGGCCACTGACCTTGTTTCTGAGAATTATGTTAGTTACTTCAGTACAACCCCCTAGAGAGCGAGAGAATAAGAATTTCAGGAGTAATATGGATGATGAACAAGGTTGTTATGGATGAGTTTTGCATTTGGAAGAAAAACAGTATTTAAAGCAAGGAAAGGTCAAGGAGCTGTTTGCTGCAATCAGATAAATGATTTCCTGTCAATAGAGATGTTTCCATAAGCAGACTTCCCATCTAGAGAGAATAGTCCAGGTGATTTCTTAGAGCTTAGATTAATAGCCACCCTCGTAGTAGTAGTGGAAGCCCCTTAAAGATCAGAAGAACCAAGTATCCTTAGAGAGATCAGAAAGTATAGTCCAACAGTTTTGAGTTTGAAGAGATAGGAATAAATTGTAAATCTTTTTCATTTCTATTGTGAATAAGATGAGTATTTGATTGAGAATGAGTGATAAATTGTTAACCAGGCTTGAAGAGCAAAAGGAGTATGTTAGGTTTGAAAAGACTCCTCAAGATGTGAGGGGAAACGGTAGCTTGATTCCAGAGAGCCAACCTGTTTCCAGAGAGTACCGAGCCGTCCTTCAATGTTCAAGAAGACTATATTGATAGTAGAGACAAAGATTTCCAGATAAGATAATTTGAAAAATCAGGAGTCTCAATCACATTATTTCACACCTAGGACAAACCAAGAGACTGATGACATGAACCTCTAGACATTACAGAGGGAGAAGATGAGATGAGATTGACACTAGAATAGGCGTCCAGAAGAATTACCTAAATTCATGCTCAATACTGAAGGAATAACTGAAAGCAATTAAGGAGCAAAAGAACACCGACAAAAAAAAACCCATAGTAGCTCTATGGTAGGGAACTATATTTTCATTGAATGCACACTAACCTGCCAGATTAAATACTTAACTGAAAGCAGTTATTACATAAAAACATATTGACCGACACTGAATCACTAACAGAATATTTTCCTATTCATATCAAACAAAAAAGGAAGAATTTTACGAAAAAGAGGGAGTCATTGAATAACTAGATTCACCATTTTTTTCCAAAATTAGAGAGGAGACACATTAAAGAATCAGTAGTTAAACCTTTGTCAAATCCTCTAATTAAAGGCATTCCCATTATTTAAGCAAACAAAAAAAAAATATACAAAATATAACAAGCCCATCCCACGAATTAAAAAATAAATCACCACTTGGCTATGTTGGAATAAATACAGAAATTTTAAGGAATTAATTTGTAAACTCACACTTAATTCAAGTATGCGATTTTGTAAATTCCTATGAATTCGACATTTTTAATTACGAGTCTCGTCATACTATACTTTAGACTAACTATGAACTTACAAATAAGTGCAAATTTGTTACAAATTCTACACAAAATTATAGATTTGTTACCTAGTAATCAACAACCATCATTCAACAGTGATAAAATACAATAAACCAAAAACCGACGGAGGAAAAAGCAAGATCATCACCTCCCAGCACCAGAGGCAAGATTCAGTATCGTCATTCAAAATATCTGCATCCGCATTGGGAACTCCGTACATGACTCTCCGTCCCGATGAGAGAACCGCACTCCTAACCATCGCCATCGTCACGTTCTCCATCTCCTCCTTCTCCTTCACCTTCCCGTGTATCTCTTCCACCAGCTTCTCAAATGGCAGACTCTTCTCCTCCATCAACGCCAATATCCTCGAAGTCGAAGAAACTGATTCTAAAACTGGTTTTTCATCCAACATTTCTCGGTAGAACCGAAAAAGACCCTGGACTTCCTCGTTCAAGGCCTTGATCTGAGACTCTTTTTGGTCGGAAGTCACAGAGATTAACGCTGATGTTTCTCTCTTTCGCTTGGGGGCCTTCTTGGCCTGATCTCGCCCGTCCGTTTTCGAACCATCAACATCCCTAAGCATCACGGTCTCCGACATGGTACACCCAGGTGCACACGGACCCAGCCTCCTTAAGTGTTAAGCAAAAACCCTAGACAAAGAGGGAAAGAGTGGAAACAAAAAATAAAAGGGTCGGATTTTGTAGATGGAGTTGGATTTGAAACGAAGGAGAGGAAAATCGAAAGAAAGAACCCTTCGTTTTCTTTCTGTAAATTGTTTTAATAATTATTTTGAGAAAAATTTCATTTTATGTTCATGAGAAATGAGAAACGATACTGACTTTAATATTTATTTATTTATTTTGTGAAAATAAATATTTTCTCCCGCACTGACCGAAAGAAAAATGTTTTTCCCGCCAAGAATGGGAAAGTTTGCCTCCAAATGTTGGCGCCACAACATTCCGTGTGGCGGATCGGATCTCATCAGAAAGAGTTTTTACTTGCCAAATTTCGATGCAAATTAGAAATTAACCAAATTCCAATAATTATATAATTAATATGAATCTAGATTATTTTTATTGGTTAAAAAATAATGAATCCATTATTGACTATAATTTTCGTAATAAAAAACTAAATCTCAAATTAAAATCTTTAATCTAACTAATAATTTATAAAAATATTATACAGCACAATCTATATAATTTGATAAAAAGTATTATATTATTAATTCTTCTTTTTGGAGTGTGACCAAAACACATGAATTCTTAAAATTTTATTAAATATATCATCAAATATTTTGTCTATGAATATAATGGTGCATCATTACAAAGTGTTTGTGAAACTATATGACAGACATACATCTATTTTCACTTCACAAATATTTTATATGAGGTTTTACCTTATTAAAAGAGATACACGACAAATGAACTTATACTAACCTTAGAGTCTTTTTGTAGATTTGCTAGCACTTTTAATATTCAAAACTTAGCCTTTAAAATGTTTTTTTTCATATCCTAACACTTATTTATCTAAATGATCATAAATTTAGTAATAAATTATAATACAATAATTGAAAAACTATAACACAATAGCAAAAACAATTGATGAGTATCACAATAAATCATATATATCATATGTACTTTTTGAATATTCGAAGCACAAAAAACATATATACACTTTTCAAAGCTCAAAATCATTTTACAACATCATAGGACGAGTCATACTTTCACCATTATTATGGAACACACAACTAACTCCCATTATATTATGAATAGGCATATAATACCCAAAATGGACCAGACTCCCTCCACCGAATTGGATGGGCACAACAAACTCTTACAATAAAAATAAATAGGCATAAAAGGACTCATATCATAAAATAGGTGGGCACAAATGGACTCCATCCATCGAAGTGGATAGGCACGACAGACTCCGTCCATAATAAGGGTGGATAAAAACCAGAAATTCACTATGCATAATTTTTTCAAAATTTTGAATATTATTTTTAGCAAATACATGTTTTTAATACTTTAAAAGTATCATTAATTTAAGTCAAAGAGACATCAATAAAACTGTTGTCTCATTTTCCACAAGATTCTCTCTTTTTTTTTTTGTGTCTTATCAACATCCTTTTTTACCTTTTTATGTTTTTCATAGTTTGTCTTCTCTTTATCATTCAGAATAATAAACAAAAGCTTAATACGGTATCGTTCGGAAGGAAGAGAACTAGTGTGAGTTGGGCTCTTTTTTCGGTCCACAATTTGGTATAAGTTTTAAATTTATTTGGGTTTTATTTGATTTGAGCATTTTTTTTTTAGTTTGTACGTCGTTTAAGGTTGTGGTTAGATGAGAAAATGATTAACTTGGGTATGGCAATTGGATCAAAATGAAGATTTTGGTTTTAAATAGAAAGGGCTTAATTTGATTAGATTTAAAAGGTTAGAATTAAAAGGTTTTAATAATTTGAAACATAAAAGTAGTAGTAATAATAGTAACAATAATTATAATAATAATAATAATATATAACTTTAAAAAATCAAGTAATAAAAAGTTATCAAGACAAAATAGAGTATTAAACTTCTCTATAATTCACCTATTTCTCCTTAAATCATTGATAGGTCATCATCATCTTTCCTCACCACACCAGCTGCTCTCCCTTTTCATTTTATTTATTACTAACACTACCT